GCCTGTGGCCACGTTGTTTACACCTCACAGGGGGGGGAGAAGGCAAGCAGACAGCACACGTGTATCGGTGCCTGGGCAAATCCCTGGCTATCCTGCAGCTAGACTGCCAGCGCGGAGCTGGAGCCCTATCCCAGCCTGGTCTGTGACCCCCGTCCTGGCAAGACCTGGGTGGGAGCAGGGAGAGGTGCCTCTGTAGCCCCTGTGATGGGATTGACCACAGAGATATGGGGGCCCCCAGCCAGGATTTATCTGCATTTGCTTTCACCCCTGGGACTGGGCTGAGAGGGAGGTGCCCACCCCGCTGCCCACCCCATGTTACTCTTCTTGTGCTGACGGGCGGCTTTTGCAGACTCCTGTGAGGGCCGCTGCGAGGATGGCTTCGACGCGCAGCGCAAGTGCCAGTGCGACACCCTCTGTGTGTATTACCAGAGCTGCTGCAGTGACTACTCCACTGTCTGCAAAGCCAAAGGTACCGGCCCTATGGCCACCCAAAACCGGGGCAGGGGGAACTGGGGGGGCGGTGGGTGCCCAACTCTGCAGGGGCTTGGAGGCATCTGTGTTGGGTCAGCTCGGCACTCACCCGTGTCTGTAGGGTGAAGTCAGCACCAGGATTTGGTGCTCAAGGTGCTGCAGCACCAGGGGTCTTCGGCAGCTGGCTCACTGCTGCCCACAGTGTGGGGTCCATGCAGATCCTTATTGCTTGGGAACAAGCGGCTCCTGCACCCAGACCCAGTGGGAGATGCTCAGGGCTCTGCAGTACCAACCTGGTCCCTCTCACAGTGACCCGGGGAGACGTGTTTGCTTTGCCGGAGGACGACTATCTCGACTACAACTTCAACGTCGACTTAGTCACTGAGGCAGCTCCCCCAGAACTGCCCACATCCCTGCCGCCAGCGGAGCCCACGCTGGAGAGCAATCCGGGCCCTGAGGAGACTCTGCCCGCGGAGGAGGTGCTCAGCACAACTCCGGGTTTGGTCTGGAATCGGGACCCTGTAGAGAAGCCCGAGGAGCTGTGCAGCAGGAAACCTTTCGATGCTTTCACCGACCTGAAGAATGGTTCCTTTTATGCTTTCAGGGACCTTTCCCAGGCACATGGGACATGCCGCCACGCTGTCACTCCATGTTGGCAGCTGCTGTCCCTCCTGCCACTCCCACCTCCCCTCTCTCCCCAGGGAAGTACTTCTATGAGCTCGACGAGACAAGCGTGCGGCCCGGCTATCCCAAGCTCATCAGTGATATCTGGGGCATCGAGGGACCCATCGATGCAGCCTTCACGCGCATCAACTGCCAGGGCAAGACTTACCTGTTTAAGGTGAGCAGGAACCTGTCTGCAAGGCTGAGGGTGCTCCTGGGACAGCCCCTCAATCTACCTCATCCCCACCCTGGCACCCTCTGTCTGTGCACACAAACAGTGGCTGCCATGTATCCCCAGATCCTGGGGATGCTGCACCCAGCCCCCTGACCCCTCTCTCTCCTGCGTTCCCCAGGGCGGCCAGTACTGGCGCTTTGATGACGGAGCCCTAGACCCCGGCTACCCGCGCAACATCTCTGAGGGCTTTGAAGGCATCCCCGACAACATCGACGCAGCCTTCGCCCTTCCCGCGCACAGCTACCATGGCAATGAGAGAGTCTATTTCTTCAAGGGTAAGGGGTGCAGGCGCTTGCTCCCAAGCAGAGCCTGACACCAGTGGCCACGGGTAGGGCACCCCTCTGGCTGCTACTGCCCTTCGAGTGCATGTTCCCCACTAATGCCCTGTGCATCCTCTCCTAGACAAGTACTACTGGTCCTATGACTTTGCCCAACAGCCCACGCAGGCCGACTGTGAGAAGTCCTCCCCCTCCGCCGTGTTCAACCACTACGCCTTCATGAACCGTGACAGCTGGGAGGACGTCTTCCAGATCCTCTTTGGTGGCAGGAGGAGTAAGGGCTGGGACAGCCCCAGGGAAAAGGGCTGGCGCGTGCCAATATACCCGTGCTGCGAATGTGTGAGGGGTGCAGGCACCTGGGGCGAAGGGGGAGTGCAGGAAGGGTGGGTGAGGCGCTGTGCTGGGCAGAAACTCAGGTTATGGACAGGAACCCCCCAGACCGCAGCTGCATTTCCCACAGCATCCCAAATCCCACCCTCTGTAGCCCTTATGCCCCACACTACCCAGCCCATCACCAGCCATCTCACACCATGGTGTTGCTGCTGGGGACTGTTTATTCAACCTGGAGATGTCATAAGAAAATCCCAGCCCTGGGCAAGAGAAAGCAAAGATGGAGAGGAGGAGAAGGGGGCTCAGCAGCACAGGGCTGATCCCAGCCAAGGCTGGGGTGAGAGACTGCTCCCCATCACTCATCGGATCCAGGCTGGCATCCTTCGGAGCATCCCTGTGGGGCTGGGAGCAGGGGCTGCGGGCTGCCTGGGGGCTGGGTTCAGCTCTCCCCTACATGTTGCTGCTCCTCTCACTCGCCTTCTGCCTCTTTCCCAGCCGGGGCGAGCAGCCGCCGGTACATCCGCAGAGGCTGGCGCGGGGGGCCCAGCCG